TATATATATATATATAAGTTGTAATATTATGTTTGTGTTGTATTAATATTAATCTCAGGATGCATTTCCTTGAGTTAAATAAGCTGCCAGCAAAACGCTTCAGTTTACCGTGTTCATTCAGCTCTTCAGCTTCAGCACGCGCAGCTCAAACGGCTGCTATTTAAAACAGTGGTATTAATTTGTTACTTTTTCAAAATCATTGATGCATTATTAATAATAACCACCACTTTTATTTTTCTCTTATTATTTTCATCAACAATATGGTTAAATCATTTAATTCATTTAATTATTGTCCGTGCAGAGGCTATTCTGTTTTATTGATCTATGGCGCATTCATTTACACATGTAACACATGTAATGATGTCCAGTGACTTGTTTGCATTATTTATGCATTATTTTATTTATTTGTAAGACTTTTTTATGACTAAATTTGGTAATGGGAGAGTAAAATTATTTTTAAAACGTACACCGTTCAAACTAGGCTGCTTATGTTGAAGTGTTTGGGATGTGGCTTTTAATGATGAGACCTTTTTTGTAATCAGGCTCTCAAAAAGTATATAAAAATTTGGATATAGATTTATCGGCCAACATATCGGTTATCGGCTTTCAAAAATAAAGAATTATCGGTTATCGGCCAAAATTTTCATATCGGTGCATCCCTACTCAAAATATTAAAACAAAGTTTAAAAATTTTAAAAAGAGCAAAGAAAGCTGCTCCTCTACTGCATCTACATTGCTTACATGGTCATTTCACCACCTTTTTACAAACTGCTTTTAACTTGAAGTCAAAATTGACAAGTTACTTTCTTAAAGCACACTCAAGGTCTTGTCAACAATTCACCTGTGAATGTTATTCTCAAGAAAAACACGTTTGTGTTTCATCAAATTGAGACAACATGCACAATCCAATCAATTCCCACCTCTTTTGTTGTTAAATATCGTTTTATTCAGAAAAACGTCACAATATGGAAGTAAAATGGGTTGAGATCGCACTTGTTGACTTTTGAAAAGAGATGTTGAAAAACATTTTAATCAAAAACACATTATTAAATTCCTTGCAAACAGATCACAAAGGCTCAAATCACCATTCCACAAACGTAAAGCAAGGGATTCAAAAAATTTTAAAAATTAGCACAAAAAAACAAGTTCCTCTACTGCAATTATCATTTTCAAGCTACCTTTATAGTCGATATGAAATCAAAACTGACATCATTTACTTTAATACACACCCATGATCTCATTTGTTTGTCTTCATAATCTTCCAGCAAATTAAAAACTTGCACAACCCAATCAATTCCCAACATTTCATTTCTTGTTAAATGTTGTTTCATTCAGAAACGTGTCACACTGTGCAAGTAAAATGGGTTGAAAAAGCACTTGTTGACTTTAAAAATGAGCTTTTAATCATTAACATTCCATTTAACATAACATTCCAGTGCGATTATTCAATTTCTTGCAAAGTGATCACAAACGCCCAAATCATCATTCCACAAATATAAAAAATGGAGCAAAAAATGCTTTTATGGCCATTTAAGCAAAACACAAAATCAAAATTTGACACCATTTACTTGTCAACCATGTAAAAAGAAAATAAAATAAAAAACGCCTGTCAATTCTATGCATTAGGTATGTTACAGTCTCTGACAGACAGCATGTTGAAGCCGCTCAGGCCACCATTTTTTCATTTTTTTTTTAGAAAGCAATGATGTAGTCAATACACCCTTTAGTGCGGGTTTTCCAGGAAATGTGTGTAGTCCCTGGACCTCTGACCCTTTGAATGAGCCCAGGGTCACGAAAAAGGCTGATCTCAGAGCCCACACAAAAAAATCCCTCTCTTTAGCCTTCATTTTATCAGGCACAGTGGTGGGTGATAAGACATGGCTGGCCTCCAGGAGTCCTCCGGCCTTCGCTAACGGCACCGTATGACCACCTCAGCGCTGAGCGGCAGAGGAGGACAGAGAGAGAGAGAGAGAAACAGGGAGGCGAGAGAGTCAAAGAGAATCTCTTACACGCCGTGAGACAAACAGATAAATCGGGGAACGGACGGAGACACAGAACAGATTTTCCATCTGTTCTGCGGCAACATCTGATTCCCCATTTACGACTGCAGCATATTTTCGAGTCCAGCGAGCAAGATTGCGCCTATCAAACAATTTTCAGTTTTGTATGCTCTGGAACTTCAGTCATTTCAAATATATAACCTACATTACAAAAGAGACCACAGAAACAGCTCCTAGACAGTGGGGCTGTAATGATGTATAAACCATGTGAGACAAAGGTAACTCGAGGACAGTCGGGGGAACTTTTTTTTGTCAACACACTCAGAGAAAAACGCTCTCCTGCGCTCCACTCTACACTCATAAACAATGGAAGTGGAAGAGACAGTGGGTCTTACAGGCGACCAATCACTAAAGCCACCAGAACAAAGGCTTGAGACGGAGCTCTGAATGCACGGCGGAAGAAAAAAGGAGGGGTGCGAGGAAAGGGCACTCCTTCAAAGGCCAGCAATTTTAGTCCCTCTTGCATGCTCAACGTGGTGTCAGAGGGGAAGACAGAGAGAGGTTTCTTGTGAAGGTGTGAGTTTCATTCTACGCTCTCTTTTGGACAATGCAGACTCTGAGGTCTTTTGTTCTTGGAAACCTGTTGGCATAGAAGTGCATTGTTCGGCGGGGAGAAAAAAGGAATACAAGGAAACTACATTATCACGCCTTTGTGCGGGAGTTGCTCTTTGCCGCCGCTCTGACATTTGTTGCTTCTGACAGTAATGTAAGACCAAAGGGAGCCAATAAGGAAAGTATCTACTTCCATTTGTCGTGCTTCCCTGATCCCAAACTGAATTAAGCACTCGGCAATAATGTTTTAAACTCCCCTCAAAGACTCTAAAACAAGATGGATGCCATCAGATCCCCAATGAAAAGGGGTCTCCATGACAACTGCGAGAAACCTTCACCTCACCCCTGAAGATCCCCTCTGAGAACTAATACACAAACCTTTGACACATACCAACAAGATTAATGGGCTACCAAAAGTCTTGCGCACATGGTAATAACCCGCCGCTCGTCCTGAGGTGTAAAACGCCTTATCCTATGAAGAAATTAATAGAGGCGAACCCCAGAGTGTGCCCACGCAAGTTGAGCGGCACTGGGATCTTGGCATGACTAATTGTGGTGCCACAATTCATCCATCCAAAACTCATTTATCCAACGGCCAAGATGCTCGTCTTATTTCTTGTGAAATATGTGCACAGGGATCGGGATTCATTTACAGCCACCCGGTGCCAGAATCACATCGAGTTTCCCTGCCCATGCACCCGAAAAGCTGATGTTTTATGTGACTAGCATGCAATAAAACACTCTGAATTGTAGTTAACAAGTATGCATGCATACTGGTCTGAAACTGGTTTTAAACCTCTCAGACCAGTTGTCAGGTGTGCTGAACACTGTCCCAACAAGTGGATAATCAGCAATGAAACGTTGAAAGAGTGACACATTAGGAAAAGTCTAAAAATTGCTCTGCATATCTTATTTACATTTTTTTGCATTTAAGTGCTGTTCACACCAAGGAAAGTAACTATGAAGTTTTATTAATTGCTCTAATTCTATGAAAATAGAAAAGTCCACACCCCAGCTATGATGATAATGACACAGAGGATCGATAACTTTGGAATCACTTTCAGAATGATTTTTTTAGCTGATGAATGATAAAGACACTGACAGCCAATCACGATCCATCGATCACTAAAAAGCTTGAGAATTTAAAGAGGTAGATGACAACATTGCAGCATGCGATTATAATAATTAGAATGTTCCCTTCCGTTGGTGAGGACGATAATATAGTTATAGTTAAATTTGTAGTTACCATTCTTGATGTGAATTGGTCTTTATGCTGTACTTCTCAATTTTTTGCAGCAAATTAAGTATTCCGTATGTTGTTTGTTGACAATGGGCACAACTTTGTACGAAAATGTTTTTGGAATCATAGCTACAATCGTGAAAAACAATGCCATTAGTTGCCAAAACATGTAAACCGAGTCTTTAAATACATGCAGAGCTTCAGTCCTGCAGTGTAGCCTCGGCTTACACTGAACCACAGACATGTCTCTCCTTATCAGAGGAAAGCAGCCCCTCTGAGACGCCATCAAATCACTGTGATGTTTAAACCACCAGGGAAGAAATGTCTAGGACCATCACCACTAGCAAGACTAGTGTGGCAAATAAGGGGAACAGTAACTTAAAATGCAATTTTATAACAGTGGTATCTCAAAATAGCAGAAGACTTGAATAAAATTCAGACATCATTGCATTTTGAAGAGTTACAGCCAGCTGCACAGACCTGTCATAAACCTCTAAGTGTTAACAACTAAACCCTGTTGCATTTCTCGCCTCCTATATATAGTACAAAAGCTATAATAGATATAAAAGTTTCAAATTGTAAAGTAGGTGATTAAGTAAGACAATACAATTACACCTGCTGCCTTCCAGCCTAAGAAAAAACTGATCACGACAGGCCACACCTACACCTTGCGTAACATGGCGTACGAGGCAAGGGATACGGGTTATGGTCAGTGGCTCTTATTAAGTTGACCAGGATAACCTAGATAAGCAGGTAAGCTGTAGAAATCAGCGCTCACAAGCGTAACGCACGCATGCAACTTGCGTATCAATACACTTGGGACGGGCGACTTCAGGTTCAGCGCTCACTAAAGGTAAGCATCATGCAAATTACCTCTAGGTTTAAAATAACAAAAGAGACCGAGTGAGCAGTAAAGAGATTAACCCACAAGTTACTGTGTCACATTACCTTGGCTGGACAGAAGACACGCGCAGAGAATCAGGCAACAGTTTATCATCGTAAAGTCGCTCATTCCGCTCTCGTCCGCGGGAGGTTAAACAAATCCTGGAAACTTTAGCATAAAATCTCGTTCACTTTGCGAAGCGAACCGGAGGCGGTGTGTTGAGGCTCGTCAGATCGCAATCTCAGTCCGCTCCAACTGCTAGTAAAGCCCGGAGTGTGCACAGGTATGTTATCGTGCGGAACGCTGTTGAGTCCTCTGCCTCGCGACTCGCTCACTTCTGTTCTATCTGGAGCTCGAGAGCGCGAGCGATGGAATTGCTCGTGATGTCATCGTCGCGTCACGCCGCGGAGAGAATGGAACGGCTTTGAAGTTTAGAACTTGTGGATTGGGTTGACGCGATACGCTATTTGCGCGTGAAGTCCAGATATTCTGGTTTTACACGTTAAGAGAACTGTTTTGTGCGAGATTGTAAGCAGTATGTGAAATGAACCGGGGATTTAGGCAAAATGCCCCGTAGTAAATCCCCCTGGTTTGTACCTAACGTTTGGTGCTGTGTGATATATAACATTCTACATTAAATAAGCTAAGACCGTACAATTACACCTGCCGCCTCAAAATAGTGAATATAGTAGCCTTAAATCTAATGACAGTAGCCTACGTTTGATGGTGTATAATGCATAGCATTCTATAGCATTACTTTGAATCAGAACCGTCACAATCCACTTTAATATCTAATTAGATATCTGGACTTTACGGGTAAATAGTAGGCTAAATAGTGTCTCGCGGCAGCACAATGCAATCCACAAGTTCTAAACTTCAATGCCGTTCCTCAAAACAGTGAATAAAGTAGCCTAAAATCTAATGACAGTGCGTTTGATGGTGTGTAATGTATAGCATTATTTTGAATCAAAACTGTCACAATCCACTTTAATATCTAATTAGATTCGCCATTTCCGTGAATCTAATTGGATATTAAAGTACATTGTGACAGTACGTTTGACTCAAAATTGTCACAACAGACTTTCGTGTCTATTTAGATGCACTATTTCAGTGAATCTAATTAGATATTATAGCCTATTGCGACAGTAAACAACTGTATAATCTAACAGAGGACGGCCGATTATGTAAAATACATTCTAGCAAAGCGTTTTCCTGCAATCGTTGTTCCAGTTGAGAATTTATTTAAATTAATTGCATCATATTAATGGCATAATGGACGCCACACTGTTTATATGTGGTTCAAAAATATGCCCTCTCAAATGGTGAATGGTAAATGCTTCTGAAATTAAATTCCGGGGAGCGGCTATTATATTAAACAATAAACAAAAACTTAATTTCCCACGCTGGCAAAATTGTCAGACAATATAAATCAGAAGACTTGGCTTTCTGCATGTTCTGGTCGTTTTTCTGAAGCTGAACTTGTACGCTAATCTGTTTTAACTGCATATTGCCTGACTTGCTTCATACTTTCACGGATGCACATAACTACAGTTGATCGACTGTCAAAACAATGTGATTTGTTCAAATAAGGAGGTATGAAGGACAGGGTTGATGAATTCAGAGCTCTTCTCCTCTGGGAATGGCCTGCATACTAATCAGTGACCTCGCTCTGCCATCTATTGACTGATCTGCGCAATTACGCGCTCACGTTCATTAGCATGCAGAGCGCAAGAGTTCTGTCAAATGAAATGCAGCGTCCCCTCGGTTATGCATAAACGGCTGCTTGCGCATACGTTTATAGTTTAAACTAGAAGTTCGACAAGGCAAACTTTGATGTTGGCTGACAAAGTATTGCCTGACAGTTCAAAAAAGCTGCTAAGTTTGAAAGTTGCACAGGCTGTGTGCGCTTTGAACGCTTCACCCTAAGAAATGTTTGAAAAGCACAGTTTTCTTTTCTGACCAGATGTATTTCCTGTTGAAACGTTCTCATTTTAGAAGAGCATTTGACTGGACAAAGATCTGTGTGGTGCAACATGATTCATTAATAGCCTACTTTTGATTTTCCAGAAGATAGACTGCACATTTTAAAGGGGTCATATGATGCGATTTCAATTTTTCCTTTCTCTTTGGAGCGTTACAAGCTCTTGGTGCATAAAGAAGATCTGTAAAGTTGCAAAGACTAAAGTCTCAAATCCAAAGAGATATTCTTTATAAAAGTTAAGAGTCAACCAAGCCTACCTAAAACGTCTCCTTCTAACACGCCCCCACATGTCTACCTCAGGATGTGGGAAGATTTGCATAACGCCGCCCAAATGTTCACACAAAGAAACAAGGCGTAACTTTTATTCTCGCTGTAAGTATTGTTGCAGCCGCCATGTCGTGAAGACGTCAGTGGTTAAGTTGTATTTACAACACTGTTCCAGAACAGTTCAACCCAAATGCAGACATGGTTTTATGTTTACACGGCGCGATGCAAAGCAACACGTAAAAAGACAGTATATGTCATTATAATCAGTAATTATGTCCCCACTGGATGCAACAAATGCCTCGTTTATAATGGGTTTTACTGGTTTTGTCTCGTCGTGCCGGGACATGGCATCACAGTATGGTAAGGTGCGTAACATTTCAGTCACACGCTTGAGGCATTCGGTCAATCACAACACACTGGATAGCTGGCCAATCACAGCACACCTCGGTTTTCAGACCGATGAGCTTTGTAAAAAATCGACGCGTTTCAGAAAGGCGGGGCATAGAGGAGAAACAATAATGTACAGTATGTGGAAAATAATGTGTTTTTTTAACCTTAAACAGCATAAACACATTGCATTACACCAAATACACAAAATAATGTTCTTTTTAGCAACATCATATGACCCCTTTAAATGCATATCTGCTAAATGTTCATTTTGTTAACTGCTAAGTGTTCATTAGCATATAGATGTGGACTAAAAGCCACAACATTTTGAATAAAGATGGTCTTTTAAGACCTAAAAAGCAGGAATAATTTAAATAGAAAGTCCATTGCCAAATATATCTGCAATGTTCAGTCCTACCTGCATCTGGAGATCTATCCTTCTGAAGAGTTCAGTTCCAGCACACCTGCTGTAATTTTCATGTAAACCCAAAGACCTTTATTAGCAGCTGCAGGTGTTTGATTAGAGTTGGACCAGACAACTCAGAACTTGGAATTCTCCCATCTCATACTTGAAAATAACCACTGGAACTGGACTTCAGTAGGTATGTTTACATGGACTAATTTTCTTCAGTCTGAAAAACATCCAGTCTGATTTCAGATTCTGAAAGATCTCATCATCTGATTATATGAAACCTAAATTTGCAGTCTGATTCACATATTTACAAATGCACAGCATTACATATGCATATATTACGTGTCTTCAGAACAAAACTTCAGCACATGCGCAGCGCCTAATCACCGCATTCATAACTAGAGAAAGCCACTGTGATGTCACTGGAGCTACCGTGAGAATAATTTTTGCTTCATTTTACCCTTGATGATGTCTAAAAAGAAAGCTAACATATGTCAGAAGAGCTTTTTAGCAAACATTTAGTTCAATCATGACAACTCTCGGAAGATTTTAGCATGGTAATGGTTATGACAATGTTAATGTAGTTGGTCTTGGTGGAATAGATCTGCTACGCTGCTGCTGCTGAATTGCTGCTGCTGTAGATTATTGCTGCTGCTGCAAGCAAGTATAGGAACTTGCTATTGCCAATGCATACGGTGATACAGTGCTGTGAGTATTTAACACATTACGCTGCTGCACAAATAGCATATAAAATAACCCGTAGCAGATCTATACAGGTGGAGCTGGGGAAGGTGGTGGGTTTCAGAGGAACTCTGAAAGCGCGCTGCAAAAGGCTCAAGTGGATTCTAACCAGCCATTTAAATGTAAAGCAGCAAGCTCATTGGCTGCGTATGCAACATGAACCAATCAGCTTGTGCCAAGTCGTTTAACGCTGTGAATATCATTAGTTACGTTAATACCCGTCAGTCTGCGCCATCTAGAGTTTCATGATTGAACTACACATTTAAATATCCAGTCACTGACCAGATGTAAATAAACATATATCGTAAGACAAACGTATGTAAACAGACATCATGGCAATGCACATGCGCACAAGGAGTTTTCAATCCGATAAAGGAAATTGTTAGATTCAAGTGTTCACATGCTTAATTTTTTTCATGTTGATTGGATTATTTCTGGTCATCACCACTTTCAATCTGATTGAAATTTCATTCAGGTGGATTAAGGTGTTTACATGAAGGCTTTTTTTAGTCCTATTGTGCCATTAATCCGATTATAAATGTATTCTTTGGCTGTGAGAAGTGTGATTTGACAACATTGCCAATATGGCGACTAAAGTGACGTCACATTGGTTCTTTTTTAAGTGTTGGTGGGAGAAATCCAACAGTTTTTGGGGAAAACAAAGAGGTAATTTTAATGTAATATTTTCAAGTGTTGGAAGAAATCCAACAGCTTTCTATTTTGAATGTAATATTTTCAAATGTTGGTGGGAGAAGTCCAACAGTTTTCTGAAAAAAAACAAAAAAACAATGGTATTTTGAATGTAATATTTGTGATTTGTGATTTATTCCAGGAACCCTTGAGCATATCCTGTTGCTGCCCATACTCAATGTCAGGCCAAAGGTAATTATGCATGCTCGAAGTCTACATTTATATGTTATGCATATACATTTATAATATATTACCCCAAGAAATCCTTGAAAAGCACAGTTTTGCCCTTTTCTATGTTGATGTATTTCCTGTTGAATCTTCCTCATGTTATAGAGCACTTGATTCTCCAAGTTTTGGAGAATTCCAACGGTGTTCAGAAAAAGTGGCATTTTGAATGTAATAATATTCGTTATTTGTGATTTATTGAGCCCTAGAGTGTTGTTGTCATCCATATTCATTTTAAGGTCAAAGGTAATTCAAAGGTATGGCACCACACAAAACTTCATTAAATTGGGCCATTGAAAAACAGCATATTAAAAATTATTTTAAGTAGATGGATAATTATGGTAGGGCTACTCATGCAATTATACCTCAATTCTACATCTCAACACAAATAATAATTTTTTTCTAGAAATTACCACTATTAAAATCCTCGGGGACGCCATTAGCAGTGATTCAAGGAGTGTCCATTTACTGAATGTGTCTTTAGTTCAAATGTAACTGCTGGGCTATTAAAGGGGTCATATGATGCGATTTCAATTTTTCCTTTCTCTTTGGAGTGTTACAAGCTCTTGGTGCATAAAGAAGATCTGTAAAGTTGCAAAGACTAAAGTCTCAAATCCAAAGAGATATTGTTTATAAAAGTTAAGAGTCAACCACGTCTACCTAAAACGGCTCGTTCTAACACGCCCCCACATGTCTACATCACTATGTGGGAAGGTTTGCATAACGCCGCCCATATGTTCACGCAAAAAAAGAAGGCATAACTTTAATATGGAAAATAATGTGTTTTTTTAACCTTAAACCGCATAAACACATTGCATTACACCAAATACACAAAATAATATTCTTTTTAGCAACGTCATATGACCCCTTTAAGAGCCTGTGACATGTATTGTCAGTGGGAGTAGCCTATGAATGCATGACCTTCATATGCACTATTTTAACCACCCCACAGAACATTCAGTAAGATTCCTGATTATGATGTTACCTAATAGATCTCACCCCCTCTCTCGCAGATGCATTCTTAATATAGCTGAGTCACGGTCAGACGGCACATAGGAAAAAGAGCAATTGAATCCTATTAGAATCTGTCTGTATTTCCCCACTTGGTGCTGGGTGTTCAATTGTGCTTGACGATGTGTATCTCATCTGGGCCAAAAAATAGCTTGAATTGCCGCTCACCGGGCCAATCGCTTCTAACAACCACTGACAGTTTGGCACTAATGGTACGTTTTCAAGCACTCAATGTCATTGTCTCCAACACACTGTCCTAACCAGAGGTCCGATGGCAAAATGTCCCAAATCTGACAACCCTTTAAAAAACGGCCTGAAACCTCCTTCACACTCGCATACTTAGCCCTCCGTCCGAGATTTTTGAGAGATTGTCCCTTAGCTCGGGCCGGCGGGCTCAGATTGATTAAGCTCGGTGGCTGCTTTAATGTGATCATGTATCAGTTGCCTGTCGACACCTTTACCAGCATAACTCTCCGGCTCTGACAGACTGATTAATACACTGAAGTGTCCATCCCCCTTTTCTTACTGTTGCCTTATTTTTCTATTCTTCTCAGGTCTCGATCCGGTTGCCTTTTGCCCTTCATTATTATAGTATATCTTAAGACTCCATTAAACCGGCCCAGCTAAGTGTTGCTCTGCTAATGGCGCTCCGAGGGGCTGCTGGTAATACGCTATGATTAAACACATTAAAGGGCCGAGCAGGCTACCACCCCACAGCAGGGTTCTTGTAGTTCTGCATACAAACACACACTATAAATGTCTCAGTTTATTTGCCTCAAATGTCTAATTTCTCAGTTTTTTCTTAAAGGGATAATTGACCCAAAAATGAAAATTGTTTTTGTTTGCTCATCCTCATGTTCTAAACCTGCATGACTTTCTTTCTTCAATATGCTTGTTGCGGTTTGTGTGTAATTTCAATGAATCTGAAGCTTTTAAAGGAATAATTCAACTAAATATGTGACCCTGGACCACAAAACCAGTCATAAGGGTTTGGCCGAGATACAACTATTTGAAAATCTGGAATCTGAGGGTGCAAAGAAATCAACATATTGAGAAAATCGCCTTTAAATTTGTCCAAATTAAGTCCTTAGCAATGCATATTACTAATAAAAAAATTTAGTTTTTTTATATTTACGGTAGGAAATTTACAAAATATCTTCATGGAACATGATCTTTACTCCTAATATCCTATCATTTTGGCATAAAAGAAAAATCTATAATTTTGACCCATACAATGTACTTTGGCTATTGCTACAAATATACCATACTTATGACGTGTTTTGTGGTCCAGGGTCACATATTTGCTGAAAATGTACTCATCCTCAGGCCATTTAAGATGTAGATGAGTTAGTTTCTTCATTAGAACAGATTTGGAGAAATTTAGCATTGCATCATGTGTTCACCAATGGATCCTCTGCAGTGAATGGGTGCCGTCAGAATGAGTCAATCAATTAATGTCTTGTGAAGTGAAAAGGAGCGCATTTGTAAGAAGCAAATCCATCAGGATATTTTAATCATCGTGTCTTGCCAAAATTTAGTCTATAATCCATAATAACACTTCCTCCAGTGAAAAGTCTTTCCACTGTTGTCCTCTCACATAAAAATCCACCCAATGTTTGTTTAGAACCCTTTTGGATGGTTTTCGCCTCCAAACTGTGCTTGATCAGTGCATATTTCTCTCCTGATTCAGAGGAGACGACTTTTTACCTGGAGAAAGCAAAATTTTGGATAGAGGACTGTACAAGTTAAAAAGCCTTTTATGATGAATTTGTTTTTAAAAACAAGCAGCTTTTGGCTTCACAAGACATTACTTGATGGACTGGAATGGTGTGGATTACTTGTGGATTATTGTGGTGTTTTTATCAGCTGTTTGGACTCTCATTCTGACGGCACCCATTCACTGCAGAGCATCCATTGGTGAGCAAGTGATGTAGTGCTAAATTTCTCTAAATCTATTCTCATGGACAAACAAACTCATCTACATCTTGGATGGCCTAAGAGTGAGTAAATTCTCAGCAAATTTTCATTTTTGGGTGACAACTATTCCATTAAGATTTGAGAAAGAATGTAAAAGCATCATAGAAGCGGTTCATATGACTCATGTGCTATATTCCAAAAATAGAAATGATAAAATAGAAACAAATGAAAATTGCTGTCATTTGCTCATCCTCATGTTCCAGACCTGCATGATGTTCTTTCATTCGTTGCTCTCTGCTTGTTGCTCTTTTATATGGAATCTTAAACTTTTAAGTTTGGGGAAGAATGCCAGCGCATCATAGAAGGGGTTCATATGACTCATGTGTTATTATGCAAAATTGTTACTCAATGAAATTCTCAATGAAATGAAAACCTTCATGACAGTAAAACAGATGTAAGATTTGAGAATAAAATGTTCATTTGAGTCAAAACTGTTTGATGAAAAGTTGATTCGGTTCATAAAACTTTATTCAATCACATATTGCACTTATTCGGTTCTTGAGTTGACTCACTGACTCACTGATCCAGTCTCTGCATAAATTTCAATCCATTTCTCACTCAAAGGTGCTGAATAAAGTGGAATATAGCACACAAGTCATTTGGGCCACTTTTAATATGCTTTTATTGCTTTTTACTTTCTTTTTTATTCTTGAAAGCTTCAGAGCGCCATTCACTGTTATTGCATGGAAAAGAAAGTCATAGGGGTTTGGAATGACAATTAATTACAGAATTTTATGGTAACTATTTCTTTAAGACTACTTTCGTCAGTTATTACGTTCCTTTTTAGTGCTCTCTCGCTCCATTTATCTCAATTCTGCTTATTCACCTCTTGATTACTGTGATATCAAGCACTTTGTTTTGCTGCTGGTTTGTGGGTCTTTTCATTAGATCTTTTATGCTTCATTGCGGATTTGTTTAAAATGCTAGTTTTAAGCTATGTGTGTGTGTGTGTGGGAGATGAAAGAGAGGAAAAAATAGCAACCCAGGCAAACAGAAATCTTGTGTCTATAATAATAAATATCTCAATTTAGCTCTAGGTTTCAAAGCATTTGCTTGCTGTGTGAAAATAGAAAAAAGGCGTCACATATATGTGCTTCTCACACATTTCAATGAATTCGCCCATTCACATCTTTTCATGACACATCTGTTTGCTCTGTGTGTGTGGATTGTGTGGCCTTCTTCTCAGGCCACAATGTACTCCGTTACGCACACAATGACTGGTTCACTGTGATCGGCTCACATCCTCTCAACACCCCTCCATATATAGAAAAACCTCCGCCTCAGGGACACAAACAACATTTGGAAAAAAGGATTAAAAGGGCGATAGAGTGAGAAAAATAGCTGGAATTGAATGTGTGAAGCAGGAAGGTTGCTATGTTGGTTTTGGCTTCCAACAAGACCGTTCTCTCTGCTTTTATAGACAAATGATTTGTCGAAGTTGAAAAATAAAACAACGGTTGTTGAAGAACTTAATTATTAGTGAAATAGCAATTTCTGTGTGAAAACTTTCTATTTCTGTTTTGTATTTATACACTGCTATACATTATGTAAATATAAAGTATATTTTAAAATCCATTGAATTTGCAGGAAATATTGTATTTGTCCTAGATTTGGATAAAGTTATTTATATATATATATATATATATATATATATATTAAATAGCTGAATATATATATATATATATATATATATATATATATATATATATACACACACATTTTTTTTTAAATACTATTGTTATTGTTACCTTACAAAAATAAAATAAACATCACAGATCTCTTTCACCTCTCAATTATTTCTCATAGACAGCAATGAAATTAAATCGATCAAATGAAGTTTCCTGCTTCTCAGATTATTTTTTCTTCAGAAAAAAACCTAGAAATCTCACATGGGTTTTAAAAGAGATTTCCAAAGTTTCTCAAACATCAAAATCAGAGATCTTAGTATAAACTGAATGATGAATTTCTCATCAAATTCA